CCCCCCCCCCTCCCTGCTCCTTTTCTTTTTGTCTTGTAAGACTGGACCTTCACCGCGCATCAGCGGTACCGACGCCTCCAACGCCACCGTCATCCACGAGGACGACAAGGCCCGAACCGCCACCTACAACGGCGGCGGCATCGCCAACAACAACAGCAGCAGCAGCAGTAACGCCTCCCGCAAGGTACGATGCCCCCACTGTCTCCGTGGGTTCTCGCCCGCCGTGGCCCCCACCCACATATCCATCTGCGCTCGTGTGGAAAACCGCCCCAAGGGCAGCGGCACCGCCAAAGCAGCTGCTGCCCGTAAGGATGATGCTCAGAAGAAAGTGGCGTTGGGTGTCGGCTACACCGACGCTTCTCCTCCGGGGGGGCGAAAAGGACTTGCCGCTTCCCACGGCTCTAGCGGCGCCCGACGGTTGCAGCAGCAGCAGCAGCAGCCAGAGAAGGTGTGTAGCCGTCGCGGGTGAGCCGGGATGGCTTGTGATCTTGGAGGGGACGCGGACAATCAACTTTCGTTTTTGGATGAAGTACAGCCAAATGTGTTGAGAGAAAACGAACGGGCTGCGGGCGATCAGACGGGACACTCTTTTCGTTGAAATATAGGTTACAGAAAAACCCGTGGTAAAAAAGCTGGGTACCCGTGCGAGAGAACAACGAACCGTATTCCGTTCGAAGCATGCGTTTTTGAAGTGGATGCTGGAATTGTTTGAGGTTGTTGTAATCCTATACACCGAGAAGGCAGTGATGCCAGCAGGAACGATCTGTCCTGTCGGAAAGTTCTGTGAACCATGGCAGGTGGTGCGGAGATGTAGGGCAGGTGGGAGTAGAGGCCACGAGGTCTTTCCACTTCATTTTGACGTTCAACGAAACAGCTTGTATGTCCAGATTCGCCCAGTGTAGTCCACAGCAATTGCTCGAAAGCCAGCCATGAGTGGTGCGGTATGTTCTGCCATGAGGTCAAATGGTTTTTTGGGTGCTACCGCTATTGGAAAAGGTCGAAGTTGTCATGTAGCTTCCGGGAGGGCTTACCGGGTCTCCGACACTTTCTGCAGTTTTCCCAAACGATCCATGGGACTCCCATGGGTCACCCATGGGCAACCCATGGGAAGCCCAAGGGCGGCCAATGAGAGCCCTTCAACCGAACCAGTGTACTCCTAAACAATAGATCAACTGCTTCGGGACGGGACACCCAAGCGGCTAACAACCCTAACGCTAATCATAACCCTAACCCCAAGCCCACACGATACGTGCTTGGTTTGCGCTTGTGGCTAACTCCTAGGTTGATGTGAAGGTGGCCAACTTCTAGGTTGAAGTGCCCACGGGTGGGAACTTCATGGGCCGCCCATTCGCCGCCCGTGGGTCACCCATGGGCGGCCCATGGGCAGCCCATGGGCGGCCCATTGGTGACCCATGGGTGTCGTGTGGGCGGTTTCACAAAAACTGTCAGTAGGTGTGGGAGACTGCTTACCGTAGGAAACCTGACCCGGAATGGTAGTTTACACTCATAATGGTTTTCTGACAACACCAGCATGCCCGCGGAACACGACGCACAGAGATGGACAATGGCGAATGATGACCCCCTCCGATACTTGCGTCCCCCCCCCCCCTCCCCCTCCTCGGCCGTTGTTTCCTCTTGCAGGCGAGGGTCATGCCGCCCTTCTACTGACCTCGGGAAAAAGTGGGGTCCGACATATCCTTGTATCTTGCCCGCCTTGTGTGCCGATGTATATTGTATCGTGGGCTTGGTTCAATTGCTCGTGGTCTGCGGGGGGGCCCTGAGAGTCGCCGCGTCTTGAACTTTGTATGGTTGTCTTGTCGCTTGTGCACTACGAGGCCCTTGTAATAATAAGAGAAGTGTTGGATTACTGTACAACAGTATTGCAAGCGTTTGTACGTCGGCCGAGTTGGATGATAGTACCGTTGACGTAGAGAGCGGTGCTTGTTTTAACGGTGTCTCTGATAGGACGGTAGACAAGTACTCTCCCGGTATTCCGCGAGCCCGCAGTTGATCATCGACTTTCGCCTAGGCTACTGTAGCTAGCCGGAGTTGATTGATTTCCTCGTGTAGGAAGAAACCTTTGACACCTACTGGGCGTTGTTTTGAAAGTATGTACATGTATAGGTTCTGGTTCTGTACATGGAATTACGTTCCTTTCACGCCGTGTGGTTCTCTCGGCCGCTGTGGGTGACCCAGCGCAGAAAACACAAGTGCGGAGGACCGTGCAGAGAAGCCCTTGTGTGGCTTGGCTTTTTTCTATGCGCGAGGTGGCTCTCCTGCTCCTCAGGGTATGGAACTTGACGAAAACAATGCAACAGTACCGGCAAGACAATGAATTCGTGCTAAGCGAGACAACGGTAAATAAAGATGATGCTGTCATGTGCAGGATGTGCTTGGGACAGGCCCATCGACTTTTAGTTCGATTTGTTCGTTTCGCATTTGAGTACAAACAGCCTAGTGCAATATATACTGCCGAGGAGGTGTGGGAGAGACACCAGACATAACATCAGATCAGGCGCGCTGATCAGGAAATCGACGTCATGTGCCCCCGCTCCCGCCTATCCTCCCATACACCCAAGGACCCTGTTCGGCTGGATTCTCAAGCCCCCAGGGACTTGAGTGTCCGCTCCAACCTTAAAATAACTCCTGAGGCAAGAAATCATTTTTTTCAAATACCCTAGATCTACGCAATCTACGCATCCAATTTTTCCCTCTCAAGGACCAAGGCACCCACCCTTGCACACCTGCGGGACGGGCGTAAGACGAAGGCAAGAGACCCGTGCTAGGGCCCGACCAGTGAGCGGACACAGGATACGCATCCTCCCGCAGTCTCGTGGACGTCCGTCACATCCCGGCGCCGCGCTTGGGATCAAACACGAAACGCGGCGGCTTGTCTCTCTCTCTGTGTGTGTTGTTTTCTCGTCGGTTTAGTTGTCTGTTCTACTCTACAAAATGTCCAAAGAAGGAACACCCGTTCGAGAAAATAGACCCTATTCCGCAGGGACATGCACATCAACCTGAACGGATTATCGTCGTACAGACGACTAATCTTTCGGCGAGCAAAGAGGATAAAGTGCGACACTGGCCTTTCGCCTGCTCCCCGCAAGTAGGTGTACCCTGGATGACCACGTCCCCCGCCCCCCCGGTCTTAGCAAAGTAGGAAGGACGATTGCACATCGGTGATCGGTCCTGTGGGAACAATGCTCCGTCCTCTCAATGACGCGTGGTCAATGGTCCAACTGCTCAGGCATGCAAAACATAAGAGTACGCCCCTCCCCCTCCTTCCGGTGACTCGTCTCCTCTTGCGTTCCACTGCCTCCACACTCCTCTCAAGCGTCACACGCTTGCCGCAGTATGCATCACAGCAACCACCGAGACAAACTTGTCCCAAACCGAGTACCCGGGACGCCCAACCTCAACCTCCACGGTTTTCTCCCCAACCCGCCGGCTCACTTCTTGTCGAGAAGTCGTCTGTCCAACACGCCCGTATGTCACCGTCAGAGCGTTTGTCATTGGGTTTTTTCCCAGCAGAAAAGTGCCGTGAGGGACTTGCGTGTTGAAAACGAAAATATGTTGGAAAGTGAGAGAAGAACCGAAGGCCTAAGACTTGCTGTGGTGAATGGTCTCGTCGTCACAACCTTTTGAGCAGCCCTACTAGATTTGGTGTGTCCCCCTTTCAAAGCTCTCTTCCATCCACGCCCCAGCCCAGCCCGTGCGCAAGAGCTATGCCAATGTATATCCCGCAATCTGGGAAGCTGCTCACGCCCCTCTTGCGCTTCCCTCCTGGGGCCACCCAGCACTGCTGTCGTCATTGCTGGAGGAGTCGGTGGAATTTTCCCGGGTCAGCTCCGCCTCTAGTACCTTGTTATTTTGCGAGAGGGGCACGTCGGGATATGAGGATGGCCGGAGTAGAGACAATGGGTTTTGAAGTGATCAAACAGGTGATGCTCGGCGTTTGGCGAAGCTCTCACATCTAGCAAGGGAGCGTGTAGGTCTTGTGGTGTCCATCAAGGGCAATAAAGGAGGGAGGGCGTGGATGACGATTCCCCCCATGACTCGCATGTGGATCGATGCGACGGAAGAATTAGTAAAAGCAAGACGTATCGCGTCCATAACGACCACAAACATCAGCAAGTGAACCCTGGGCTCATCTCGACCCCTACAAGCTTGAGCGACAGTTGTTGCAGCGAAAGATACCAAAGAAGAGTGTCTAGTCACAAATATCGACCCGATAACCAAATCCTTAACACCTCGTTCCAGGCGAACTTATTTTTTTACACAGCGTGTATGGAGTCACTATAATAAGACGAATCCGACCTACCCTCTCGCGCATTCCCAGCAGCACGGCGTTGATCGCGTCCTCCACGACCACCGTGCACGCTTCTCTCAGGCTCTTCCGTCCCTCCGACATGAAGAATCCGACCCCCGTAGACCCTTCTTCGTCTCTCCCCTCGCCCGCTTCCTCGAAGGCGTCGATTCCTAGAGCGGACTCGATCACCGGTAGGTTAGGGGTGCAGAATCGCCTAGCCGATGTGCGAGGCGTCTCGGTGGTCTGGGGGTCAACCAGGATGGGCGAGTGGTGAGGAGGTAAACGGTTGGTTCTTGGGTCTCTTTTGGGGTGGGATTTACACGCTTTGTGACCCCTGAAGACCCTGTCCGGTGAACACTCACTTGTTTTATTTTGTTTTATTTTGTCTCTTGAATCAGCAGTGCTTGCTGTTGCCTTGCTACGATGGTAGGCTGTTCAAATCCCAGAACATTTTATCGCGTCACGAATATACTCTGCGTGCCCCCGTCTTCCCAAAATAAGGGATTTTGAACTTTAATAGTAGATCAAGAAAGTCCGCGAGGATATGCCACGGTGCCCTGCCGGCAAGCGTGTCCCTACATCTCTGGAGATGCGGCGGAGATCAGCTCTACGATCGTTCGAGTCTCCTTCGCTGGCTGTGATAGCATGTGTGTTGCAATTGAACAGAGCACCCACCTTGAACTCGGCATGAAGTTGAAGTCCCGCGAGAGTTACGGGAACTTTAAACGTAAACGGTGTTTGCTCTGGTGGTTCTCCGTTTTGGTCGTCTTGTCTCTCGTAAGTCGCCACAGCGCGGTGCACGATATCCACCATCTAGGGCAGACATGGTGTCGGACGGAACGTATCGGAAGAGGCATTCATTCGTAGCGTCTGCATTGATTAACAGAAAATCAAAGAGAAAAGTCAGCTGTAGACGTTTGTGATGATCTTCATACGGTAGCGTAGCTAATGGTTGGATAGGCACCATAGAAAACAACGCCGCGCGACCGTCCACAGAGCAGCACCTTCACACCGCAGTCCAAAATGATGCCAAGGTTTGCATTACCTATTGATGCCTCTGGTTGAGCGTGTGTGTTAGGACCCCCGAACCGACGAGAGTAATTTTGAGGATATAAACTCCGAAATTCAGCCCAAGTTCCTTTTCCGGTTCTTCCCTTTCTCTCTCCGTTGGTCCCTGTCGCTCAATCCCAGGCAACGCTGGAGAAGAGGGAATGCACTGCAACAAGTGGTCCACTGCTTGTGTGGGAATGGAATGAAACCGAGTCTAGGCAAGATGGTCGGTAATCTTGCGAGACACACCTCCCAGATGATATCCTAGGCAAAGGACCTAGGACAAAGACATACCTGAGAACAACAGCTTTCCAAGAACGACCCTTCAAGCCTAAATTCTGCCCGACGGCAGAAATCGCTCGCTAATTCCTTGGCGTTGGAACCTCGGAAAATCTGCAGCACCGTCTCCACCCCGTTGACGTTGAGCGGCACAGTCATCAACAGACCCTCAACAGCAACACCATCAGCGAAAGATGGATTGGATGCCTCAAGGGACCCGTGCGTCTCTGAATGTTCCTGTCCCTGTTGCAGCAGCTGCTGCTGCTGCTGCTGCTTCGGTAGCGTATCGTGTCTCGAAGGTTCATCGATGGTGCCGAGTGTATTGTTGATGTGCGCCGAGACAGCCCCGGAGCACCGCGCCAAATCCTCGGGTAGACTTTCGGAGACAAGGTTTTCTGTGCAAAACGCCACGGCCACCTCTTCGGGGTCCTGAACCACCCACAGGTGGCGTGCAGGTTCGTGGGAGGGGAGGGGGTGCAATCTGTGAACGGACATACAGGATGGCAGTGCTACATTGGCGGTTTGTTTTGGGGCAAAGAAGAACCGCTAAGGGTTGTTGTCGGAGTTTCCCACGGGGCACCACGACGACGGGATTACTACTGTCCAGATGGTTTGCGGCATAAACGTATCCTTGCATAACTCAAGCCTTGATGCAACGAATTGGTGTAGGGTATCCACGATATTTTTCAAAGTTTGTGCTGTCGGCCGAGCCCTAATTTTCACTTCTCCTACAGTGGATGGTGTTGTTGAAGAACACGCTTGCCTGGCCGGTGTAGTAGAAAAGCGTGCGCTCCTCCTCCCCATCAATGGAAATTCCCAGGGTAAGAACAGGGTCGACAAGCTTCGAATCGTCCGGGACATCTCTTTGGGCGTCAGAGGTCGCGCGTTCCGCTTCTGAAGAAGGAATTGATGCCTCGTCCCCAACAGGTAAAGGTGGGCCGACTACCTCCGTTATCCCGTCCTCCAAAACCTTGTGCCACACGTCATTCGAAATAGAGTAGGTAATAGTCAGTAATTTGGTAGAAGTTGCTAAAGTCTTGCAGTCCTGCCCCTCTCCCACCCCCCTTTCTCGTTTAACGATAAACATGGGCAGTACATGGATTATTAGCTTAGCGAGAGATGTGAGGAGAAAACATGAAATATTGGTAATTGATCGCGAAAAATTGCAATAATCTTGTTGTATGGTCTAATTAGAGTCCTTCTGTACATATAATGTCTTGCCGAAATAAAGCAACCGCTAACTTATTGTTCTTCGACGGGGTATATGTGTAGAATCCAGCAGTAGTCTGGAGTATTCTGTCGTCTACAAACAGTATTGGACCGTAAAAACTCTGATGAAGACCTTAGTCTGTACTTGTACAGCAAGAGTACAAGTCTACAGTCTATCAAACAAACCTTCATCAGCTGTGGCACTAGAACAGATTGCATCGCTCCATCCAACCCTTGCTCGTGGCAGAACCCCAATGCAGCCTGCACGAGAGAGTTACGTCGAACATGTGTACATCGTCATCAAACAAGGTGCTGCTCCGTCTGTGCGTGTACTGTCAAAGGTAATGTGTGCGGATAAACAAATCGATTGCACCGCGACCCGACAGAGAGAAACAAATGACATCCTATACCACGACATTTATCCCCTACAAAACTCGACGGCGCTACTGTTGATGCATACCTCGGCAATTGTCTGGCCATCCCGGATACCGAGAGGTACAGCAGCGGCGGAATCGTCGAGCACAACGTCGACGGAGAAGAGGAAGTCGGACGATGCAATCGCAGTAGCGGCAGCAGCATACGATGGCCAAGTCTGGGAGTTCCCGCCGATGATGTACGTGATCGTGAGACACGACACCAAGCTGGTCACGAGCACCCGTAATGCTGACATGATTGGATGAAGGCTGGTCGGGAAGCGTCCGAGGATTCTACAACTGGCTGCAGGATTGAAGTAGGATACAGCAGTCCTAGCGGGGTCTCCAATCGTGGATCAGTTACGCCGCGTTCTCTTGCCGGTTGGATCACTGGATCTTTTCTTTTTAGCCTGTCCCTTTTCGTTTTACCTACAGGTACCTGACGCGCCTGGAGCCCAAAGCAGCTGCCTATTGGTCTCGAGGCACCACCATCAACGTAGAGCAGTACGTTATGCTCGCCTTGCTGCGTGAAAAGGTTTCTAACGCGCACTGTTGCGCAGGCCGTCAGGCCGTTCACCGCACACGAACCAACCGAGGGGCATCCGTTTTGGGGGGATGCGCAAGAATCCACGGAGCCCCCAAAGTTGATTGCGCCGCGCACGCCGCTCAGCGATGCACCACCCACCACGCAGTGCAGTTGCTTGGAGCCACCTTTGCCAACAAGCATGGGCGTGCTTGAGGCGTTCTTTGTTGCTTCCGTCTTAGTGGCGATGCTGGGCCTACTCTTTGTGGACTGGAAAACGCCGGAAGTTGTGGTGAGGATCTCCGTGAGCAAGAAATCAGCAGTATCTACAGCAGGCAGCAGAGGTAGCTGCTGTACTGCTGTACAAAATAGTATCGCTGCACAAAGTACCCTTACTGCTGTACCCTTACTGCTGTACCTGCTGCATATCATATGCTACACGATTCTTCTTCCCGTGTTAGACGTGTGCGTTAGGACAGTCTGTGTCGTCTATAGTAGTTGGTGTGTCTGCGCTTGCTGTGCGCGCCTCATTTGCACAGGCATGCGATCCACACCCTGTTGTTGTTGTTGTTGTTGTCTTCACATTAAACCGTATGTCAGTTGCTAAATGCCAAAATCTAG